GTGAGTTGCCTGGTGTCTTCCTTCTTGTTTTATTTTGGTTTTTTTTGAAGAACAGCTGCAAACCTAACTTAGCCAACTGAAGCTAGAAGGAGGCACAGCTGTTCCCAAGGGCCCGTGAATGGCGAAGGAAGTGTTGGCGTCCAAGTACTACAACTAAAATTAACACACCATAACAGAACAAACCCAACCAAACTGTAAAACTTTGAGATAAAAATCTTACACTAACAGATGTGTCTTTGACCAGATGGCAAAAATGGGGCATTTTCCAGATTCAACAGATTCAAACATCTTGAAAACAATCTTTTTCTTAGGGTTTGCTCCTCCTCTTTATAACTAAGGGTGACAGATATATCTGTTGAGTTGGCTGAGTTTGTTGTTATGAGTTGGTGAGATAGCCTTAATCATCTGATCTGTGGCTTGGAGGTGTCTTTAGCAAATTTAACCTGACTGTGTGGGACAGAGCGGGGTTGGATGCAAGGGGGGCTTTGGAGGAAATATGGTTTGTTTCAGCTCTCTGCTTGATGATGGGTTGCCTCATCAATCATGCTAATACTGCCCACGGGGCCATGTTGAGAACCAAAGAAGACTCAGCCAGTTTAATGGAAAAACGAACTGAAGTCTGTTCAATGGGGAGCAGGTGAAGAGACAGACTTCTGAAGTGCTTATTTTCAGTGAAACATCTGTAGCATTGAAATCACATTCTTAATGACTGATGCTGAGTTTTTGAGCAGTCAGTCAGTCTTCGTAGCGTGCAGGTCCCCAGATCCTGAGATTTTCTGCTGAGCAGATACCATTTATTTTTGATGTTGCATTCAGAAAAATGTTGTTTGCTCTTGGATCCTACTGTTCACAAGTGGTTTGTTTGGATAATTCTGTAGAGCTCTTGCTTAGCCTTTTCCATAGAGATAATGTCATCTATCTAAGTTTATTCTTTTATATATACAAGTCTTATATTTTATTTGAATGTTCAAGCCAATCATATTTCACATTAATATAAAATTAACACAACCCTTCATATAAACACAGAACTAATGCACTGTGTCATAATATATGACATAGTATAGCACACTGCTAACACTGAATCTGCTTACCTCAAGTTATCTATGCTTCAAAGTTCAGATTTTTCCCAGACCTGTCAAGGCTTTTACCATTGTAACAGAAATAATCAGAAATCTTGCATAGGTGTTCAGATACTATCCAAGCATTGCCTTCTTACATTATCTCTCTTAAGTTAATATGTGTTGGACAATATGCATCCTGGTATATGATTTCCAAATCTGCCTATGTATTCTTGGTTTTTTTCCCCATTAATGTCTTGCAGTATTATTCACCTCTAAGGAAAAAGTGATGAAGTTTTCCCAAGTGAACATAAGACCTTTTCTAAGAAGATAAAAACTAATGTTTCTGCGACTATTTATATGTTATTCTATTTTGTCAATGATGCATTAAAAGGGGAAGAAAAACGTTCTTGAAAATGCTTTAAAGCTTCGGAGTAATTTACAGTTTAAGATTATGCAATGCTGTTATCAGACCATGACTTGGGGATGTCTGTGACCGTTTTTTCAGGCTTTTTTGTCAAATACCTGTCTCCTCTGTGTGTGTCTTACTGCTCCGGAGTCAAAAGGAGAAAACCAGGCTGATGGTGATCCACCAGCCAGTGTAGTGAGTCACCAGCTTGTGCCAGCTCAGTTGAGCAAGGCAATTCCAGTTTACTCCCTTTCCACTCCTCTGGAATAAGTAAAGAAAGAAAATTGCAGATAATTATTATGGAAATGAGTCACTGTATAAATAGCATTTTAAAATAACTTGAAGTTTTAAATCACTGCTGATGCAAAAAAAAAGTGGTGTTGTGTAGGAAAATTTTGATGTGGCAATTCAGTGCATTTACTTAACAGCTAGAAAGCAGAGTGCTGACACTGCATTTGAGCTGGTATGATAAAGCAAAAATAGTGTAGTCTTTGAGTATTCAGTAGCTTACTGAAGGCTGTTTATTTAAACATGGTTTATCAAGATACAGGGGGGGGTGAAAGAAGTCCTGACACTTATAGCAAGAGATTAAGCTCATTTGACTTCTTAAAAAAGTGTGCATGAAGTACAAACAAGTTCATAACTGCATTTTCATGTCTATTTTTAATATACATCTTTAATTTCTGTCTAGGTTAAGAAATACAGTATTGACAAGTAGAACTAGGTATTTTGCTTTTTACAAAAGCAGTTCTCACTAACTCTAGTCTAACTCAGACAAGAAATTAACATAGTCTATTCCTGAAAGAGCCTAAAGCAGCAATCAAATAGTCTAATTAAATAAACAGAAAAGTAACATTATTGGCATGGCTGCCTTGGCAACTGAATGGTTCATTTCAGCTGAGATTCAGCTGTGCTATTTTATTTAGATGTGTACCTAAGTGCAGAGTGGTCCCACTGAAACACCCATCAGGGTAATAACAGATTCCAGTTCTGAATTGCTAACGCTGGTGTCTAACACAATAATTAAGTCTAAGAATATTATTCAAATAGCAATCTGAAAAAAATTTGTACTGGAAAGAATAGTCTTTGTATAATTGGACAATTTTGTTTAACGAGTTTTAATGCACAGTCACTAATACTTTAAATTATTTGTTGCTCAAGGAACAGCTGAGCTTGCAGCTAATACAGATTTTGGGTATTTGTAAAATTTAATAACAGAACTTGTAATGAACTTTCATGTTCTGCTCTGTTTGTGTAGTCCTCTCTGCCACTGGTACCTTGAGAAATCACAATATGATTGGCTTGGTTTGTAGTTTGTTTATGTACTTCTGATTCTGTTGTTCTTAAGATTTAAATACTCGGTTTCTTTTTTGTGGAATCAGCTGTCATGTAGTTAATGAAATAATGACATATCTGAATAGTTCAATTTAGAAACAGTAGGGTGGTATTTTCACTTCTTTCTTTCATTGTCTTGAAATTCTCTACTGTTACAAACACATTTTACTTAAATTCAGTAATTACACAGTAAAAGAGCATGTTATTGTGAAATTTAAAAGCTCGATGTGTTCTTTGTATATATACACCTCAAAATGGATTAGTCTAGTTTCAAAATGCATGTCTAGACACTCAGTGAGGAGTAACAAAAGAGAAGGGTTAGTCTGTTATGTATCCTGTTTAGGCCATTTTAGATTACGCATTTCATAATGTACTGTTCTTGTAATGTAGCCTTCTTAAGTGTTTATCTTATTACCAAGTCATGTAAGTAAAGTCACCTATTTACCTCAGGAGATTTTAGTTAGAGACAAGATGGTTGGCTGGTGCTTCAGACACTAATTCATTATTTCCTATTGATTGAATTTGACAGCCCCAAAAGGACACCATGCTGCTCTGCAGTTAGAAATAACTGATGTGTCCAGCATTAATTATCACATACAGTTGCATATAGATTATTGTACTGAAATAACCAAGGTTTATAGTTGCTCTCAAATGCAGTTGGTGTCTGTTGACAAGGTCTCTGCTATGTCTGACAAACTTTTATTAAAAAGAGGGAAGATCTTCCTGCTCCTTTCCTATTTTCTTCCAGCATAATATAATACATGGAGTGATACTGAAGGCAAAGAAGTCAAATTACCAAGCACAGCACTGATCTTTGAGAAAATGTTTGAAATCTTTATCCATACCAAGTGCAAGCTCTGAAGCCATCAGGGTGAATCAATGTTTGCTGTGGCTGCAGGAGCATTATTTGTATGGACCTGATTCTGCAAGAAGTCAAACAGAAGCAGCATCCATTTCAACTAGCAGAAGAGGTTCCTTTAAAAGAAAAAAGTAAAAGTATAGAAACCTATGTGTAGTATCTTAAGAGGGTCTCTGTATCACATTTATGGAGAGTCCTCTCAGACTTCTAGGTACTTTTAGAGTATCCAAGTGATTGCTGCTTTTTCTGTCAGTGAAAACTTTGCAAGACTGTGAGAAGACTGTTTTTATGATGCATGTGTATATAAAACATACCGACAGCAAGGAGATAAAGAATTAGGACACTGATGTACCTTTAAAATACAGTTTTGCTGTGAATTCGTCTGTTTCTTTCTTTTGAAAGTACGGGTAATAGTCTATGGACAAAGGTGCTTTCTAATGGTAGCCTAAGGCAATTTAATGGTTATCTTTTGCAAAAAGGGAAAGGTCTCAGATAATAAACATCTGGAATGGAGACTCCAATGGGCAACTGCCCCCCC